GTGGAGAGATATTGGTGGTAGTGGTAGGGAGGATTGGTGGAGAGATATTGGCGGTAGTGGTAGGGAGAAGTGGTGGAGAGATATTGGTGGTAGTGGTGGGAAGGTGTTAGTGGAAGTCGAGGATGTAGTGGTGAGGAAATGGAGGAGGGAGAGGTGTAGTATCTTAGTTAGGGGGGAGGTACGAAGAAGTTGGAGGGGGAGGTGGTGGTGGAGGTGGTGGTGGTGGTGGAGGTGGGGGTGGTGGTGGGCCGTATGTTGGAGGTGGTGGTGGAGGAGGAGGAGGAGGAGGTGGTGGTGGTGGAGGAGGAGGTGGTGGTGGAGGTGGGGGTGGTGGTGGGCCATATGTTGGAGGTGGTGGTGGAGGAGGAGGAGGTGGTGGTGGAGGAGGAGGTGGTGGAGGTGGGGGTGGTGGTGGGCCGTATGTTGGAGGTGGTGGTGGTGGAGGAGGAGGTGGTGGAGGTGGTGGTGGAGGAGGTGGGGTGGTGGTGGGCCGTATTTTGGAGGTGGAGGTGGAGGAGGAGGTGGTGGTGGAGGAGGTGGGGGTGGTGGTGGAGGAGGTGGAGGTGGTGGTGGAGGAGGAGGAGGAGGAGGAGGAGGAGGAGGAGGAGGTGGTGGTGGAGGAGGAGGTGGAGGAGGTGGTGCGCCGTATGTTGGAGGTGGTGGTGGTGGTGGTGGTCGTGGAGGAGGTGGTGGTGATGGTGGGCCGTATGTTGGAGGTGGTGGTGGCGGTGGTGGTGGTGGTTTATTGTAGTACTGGGGAGCGGCACACACCACCGTCAACCCCAGCAACAACAACGTCAACTGCAACACAAACATAACATAAATCAAACATTCTCAGATGCGAGTCAAAATTTCTCTCCTGTCAACATGACCACCTTATTAACAATTATAAAAACATGCTTACTAGAAATATTTTCCTCTCATAAAAACTGACATCACCTATGTATGACATTGTATAAGGTGGGAACAAGAATTATTTATCTAACACACCCGTCACGAAATGACTTTCGTGCTTTATTTATTCACGAAAAGATAGCTTTCCATTATCTGTGTACTGCATAAAAGAAATCTGAATCCGAATTTGTCATAGTCACACAAGAAAGTCTGCAAGAAAAAAAGAATGAAATCTGTCAGCCTGAGCTGGGAGACTTAGAAATAGTATATGAGGAAAATAGTATATGAGGTGGTTGATCCCTCAGCCTGGAAAAGAGTTCAGCACCATGGTCTGGAAGAAGCCGAGCTCTTCTCCAGGCTGAGGAACTGATCACCTCAAATACTATTTCTCCAAGGTTGATGGACTGACTACATTATCTTGATGTTACTACTACACCTGCTGCCTCTGTATTTGACTGAAGAAGCGAAGCAAGAGTGATCAAAACTGAAACTTCTGCCTCACCTGGACGCTTCTTTGTAGGTGACAAAGGCACGAAACCAGTAATTGGAAAGCTTATTCAGATAACGTTTCACATGCACTGTGGGCGGAACGTTAATGACATAACATCTACTCTTTCACTATTCGTTCTGTTAGACACTAAATCTTAAGTCTGAGTTAAATATATTTTGGTTAGATAATGAATAACACTCAGTAGGAACGTCGGTATTTGATTATATTAAATAAACATATAATTACCTATAATATAACAATTGCTAAAACATTGTAATTTTACTTATAATTTGAGGCAAGTGACGCTTGGTAATCATTAAAAATAAAATAATTATAGCTGATTTTTAAAGGGGGTGGAGTGGCAAGCCATTGGAAGGTCTCGCTCAGATAACCATAAGCTCCATTACTAAGACCCGCGTCAGGAAACACCTGGCCATTTTCCTGACGAATCTTATCTACCCCAACCTAAGCGTTAAATTTATGTACTATTTTATATTAGATCACGATTGGAAAAGTTTTTCTTTTACAAGAGAAAGAAAGAGTGCCTAGCATCTGTATGAAGTGAATGATGGACCACTAAAACACATCAATATCCTCTGTGTGAAGTGTATCATGGACCACTAGGACACATCAATATCCTTTGTGTGAAGTGTATCATGGACCACTAGGACACATCAATATCCTTTGTGTGAAGTGTATCATAGACCACTAGGACACATCAATATCCTTTGTGTGAAGTGTATCATGGACCACTAGGACACATCAATATCCTTTGTGTGAAGTGTATCATGGACCACTAGAACACATCAATATCCTCCATCGTAGTCAAGGGAAGGGTTGTAAAAAATAGCTACAACGCACTGCATTAATAAACTACAGTTGAGCAACGTGTGTGTCAGCGAGTTGTACAGAGTTGGTCTGTGGTGACCTGGAGTACTATATGTCTCCCTTTTATACTAACAAACTGTAAATTTAATAATTAGGTATTAATGTAATATTTCGAATAATATATGAGCCCACCATGTGTGGTGGAGACAGCTATTATATCGAATATTTGAGAAAATCGTTCATAATGAAGACACCAGAATCATTGTTAGTGTGATGAAGACAGACAATAACAGTCAACTCTAACAGGTACTTGTGTAAATGGAAAGTAACAGCTAGGGAACACGACACGCCTGTCTACCTCACTGGGACAGTAGGTGTGGCACTGTGATACACTCACCACTCTCATCTCCTGGCACTTGTTCAATGACAAGTCAGTCTCATATCCAAGATCTTATATACCCGACGTTGTCTGGGAGAGAGAGTGAGAGCAAAGAAAACAATGACTTACCAAGGACACGCCCTTCAAGGGTGTGGTGATGCTGGTGACCGGCTCTTGATCCAAGCATTGGTGTCTCCCCTTCCATTCCTTGACACAAACCTCATTGCCTCTCATAACCCTGGGGGTTGTATGGCACTTGCGGGTTTATTGCTTCACGATATGTGTCTTTATAATTATTTACTGGGTATTATAAATTTGTTATTGCCTTTATGAGTTTATTTTTCTTCATTTCTAGCTCTTGGACCCATAGTTTTCGGTTCAACAGGAATTAGCTCCGCGATATCTTCATTTCATTCTTTTTTCTACTGTCAGTTTATAGTTCATTGCAATGTTTCATCTCTGAAACTGAAAAAGTGTTTTATCATGTCTTTGGAAAAATAAACACATGATCAGTATAATATGATCCTTTACTGACAACGTTTCGCCCAAACAGTGAGCTTTATCAAGTGACTTGATAAAGCTCACTGTATATATATTTATATATATATATATATATAATATATATATATATATATATATATATATATATATATATATATGCCACCATGCTTCAAACGTTAGGTACCCAGAACCTGGACATGCTACACCTAACGCGAGGTACAGGAACTAATTTCATTCTTCTCTAATTTGGGATACCAATCTCGTGAGCTGTACACATATTAATGCATCCACGAAACAAGTGGTTTTCAAGCAATTAACATACTATGTCTACCCGGGGATCGAGCGCGAGATATTTTAACTAGCCTCCCGGGAAGCAACCTAAAATCCAGAAACTTCTGTTGCACACATTAACACTGCAATCCTAAATCTACCCAGTATCTCCTCATTTCCTTTACCGTGTCGTCCACCTTTCTCCTAATAGTTGCTGATATCTTAACTTCATTATATCTTGCTTTAATTTGCAACCTTTCACTTCTTTCTTACCCACGGATGACGTTCTCTTAGTATGCATCGACCTCTTAGTCTCACTGTAGCTACTACTAAGTGATGATCTGATGTATCTGTTGCACTTCTACAAAAATGCTCACTCAGAATTCTACTCAACCTTTTGTTAACGGGAAAATACAGTAGTGTGTATATTAATTGGGACAGTAATGCATTAAGGCATTTCTCTGGAAAATTAATGTATATTTTAAAAATACACGGCAATAATGTGATAGATAACTGATTTAATAAGAGGTATGACTACCACTATTATAAGCATTGCTACACGCTTTGGTATAGAATCGACCAGTGTTGAACATATTTTGGCAAGTTCTTCGTTGTAGTGTCAGGTCCTAATAACAGCAGCAATCAGCTTCTACACAGTGGAACATTACTGTTTCGCGATCCTGCGTGATTATTGTCCATACATTCTCAATTGGGTTGATATCAGGAGAGTTTCCAGGAAGAATGCTAGCATTTTTCTGGAGGTGTTGCATCGAGCAAGATGTTGAAAAATACCCTCTCCATCAGGAATGTCTCTATCAATAACGGGGGCAAGCAAATGAGTTGCCAGAATTGCCTTGTATTTGTTACTATTCATCGTTCCCTTAACTATAACAAGTCGTCCAGGGCCTTTAGCAGTAAAACTACCCCAAAACATCTTCTTAAGTGGGTGTTTTGGACTTTTGGTGCTCGTTGACTATATCCATTCCGAAGACGTTCGCGTTTGCTCCGTCTCACTACCACTGTTCTGTAACCCTGTACTTCAAAATACGCCTCATCTGAAAATGTAACTTTTCTCCATTTATCTCTCGTCCATTCCTTATGACCAAGTGCCCACCACAGCCTTTTTTTTTTTATAGCAGCGGTCGATAATTGTTTCTCTACCGCCTTTCCCGCAGTTCTGCCAACTGTGGGTGGGTGTGAGTTGGGACTGGCTAGCAGAGCAGACTCCATCTGGGTAGTAGAGTGACTCCATCTAGATGCTTTTGACTTCTGTCAGATCTCAGTAATTGGGGGTTCCCGTTCAGCTGGGCAACAAGCTGTGGCGAAACTTCTCTTAATGATATCGTTGACCTCCTCATATCCAGCATACTTCCCTTCTGATATATGACACACGAGACCATGAAGCCCGAATTGCTCAGCCGACGCCCTGCAGCAAATACACCTATGTTCAGTGAGTATGGGGCAGCTAGGCGAAAAGCAACGGCCTGTGGGTAGAATCGAGTGCCCAGGGAAGAATTTGGAACAGCTAATGTGGTGCCTTCACCGCTGGGAGACGAGGTCTGTCCTGAAACATTGTTGAGCATTGTGTTGGCAGTTTTTTCCATGATCGGTTTATTCCAGTGGGACTGTTTGTGCTCTATGGGAGGAGCTGATCTGCTTGAAGGGTCTCCAAGGGGTCTTGAGCTTCTACCGCACCTCTCAAACGTTGGGGGGACAATCTCTTTAACTGGTCCGTTGGAAGCCATACATGAGAACGGAAATGCAGGTAAAGCTACCTGCGTCGCATAGTGCACCCCTATACCTCTCAGTCGCAGTGGAAGAGTTGCCTGATCCCACTGCTGATCTTCCCGTGATAAATTCAGTGCCTTCTTAAAGATAGATCTCAGGAATGAGTTATATTTGCTGAGTGTTGGGTTGTCGAAAGAGGGTGCGCACCTCAAGAAGAAAGTCTTGACAGAGAAAAACACTGTGAGGAGATACAGGGCATCATGGGCGTCAAGATCATTTATTCTCTCCTCCATTCTCTTCAGGTCATTCAATTTATCTTTGAAGACTGTGTCGATGTCCCGATGACCCAGCGGTGCTCCCAAGAGGATGCTTTTGGACGGGGAGGTAGTAGAGGTTTCAGGAAGGATAGTTCGCACAGCAGTGATTATTTCCTGGTTGGTTGTGATGATTTCACACTTGGAGGGATTGAGGATTGTGTCTTCACCAGTTGTAGGTTCTCTAGAAGGGACTCTTCTGTACCTGCCAGAGTGCCATCATCCAGGTACCAGATTTTGAGATCACTGCGCAAGCTGGAAGTTAATACTCTTACCGCCAAGCATAAGAGAAATGGAGCGAGTGGGTTACCCTGCGGAACACCCTCTGATGAGGGAATTTCATGTTCGCCAAACAAAAGAATTGAGGGTTTGATGTAGTCAGCTGAAATGAAGGGAAAAAAGACTGGGGAACTTATCCCGAACAGCTAGCAAGACCACATCTCTTTTCACCATATTAAAGGCATTTCTGAAGTCAAGTAAACCATTGCTGCATGAGCTGCAGCTGCACCAAAGTCTATTTGGTGTGGCTGGAGTAAACTGGCGGCTTCTGTGCGAATGTTTCTTACTGTTACTTTGGCAACGAGACAAAACGAAGGGTGTTATCAACAGTAATGAGTCTGTATACACTAAATAGGCAGCGGAAATCGATCTGAGCATAATAAAAAAATATATAACATAGATTAAATAAAATATTATATATATTTATGTTGACCTATAATATATATGTGTATATATATATATATATATATATATATATATATATATATATTTCTTCTTTCAACACACCAGCTGCATCCCACCGAGGCGGGGTAGCCCAAAACGACAATTTCTCGTTTTATATTTAGTAATATATACAGGAGAAGGGGTTACTAGCCCCTTGCTCCCGGCATTTTAGTCGCCTCTTACGACACGCATGGCTTACGGAGGAAGAATTCTGTTCCACTTCTCCATAATACATATATATAATATATAATATATTATATATAATATATATATATATATATATATATATATATATATCAATCTCTGAAAAGAAAGAAAAGTCATAAAATTTGTGTAGATCGCTATCTATTAAGGGCATAGGCTCAGCATCCCACCGAGTTATAGCATTAAGTCCTCTGAAGTCAATAGTAAGTCTATATGAATTGTCTTCCTGCTTAACCATGACTACTGGTGAGCAATATGCAGATACTGAAGGTTCAATGATCTTTAGTTTTAATAATCTGTCTACTTCTCGGTCAAATGCATCCCTAAGGTGAACTGGAACTGGGTATAATTTCCGTTTGATAGGATTGTCCGTGACTAAGTCAATCTTAAAGACTACCGTGGAGGTGACACCTGGAATATCCGTAAAAACATCTGAGAATTTACCCACACATTGAAGTAGTTCATGTTTCTTATGGTCATGCAAATACTCATTGATATTAATGTATGTCGAACCAGAGTGGTCAAGAGTCACCAAGTCATGTAGTTCTCTGTCAAAGTCTACGTTAGAGGTGTCAATTACGCACACCTTACACTCCTCAGTTGTCTTATCAAGTTTGTGTGGAAAAACTAAATCAGAGTCATTCAAACAGTTAACCGAATTTCTTCGGTAATATTTCTTAAGAATGTTGATATGATAAAGCTTAGGTTTCCCCTTGACTTTATGAGGTAATCAACCTTCCCACAAATTTTCAATACCTTATACGGACCTTTCCATGGCAAACAAGGCACAGGGTAGGTAACTATGCCACTCCTTAGGTTTAAGGGAGCAAAGTTTCCTTAAAATGGACTTGAGAATTGAATGCTGACGCTCAATCCTCCCATTACAGCTGGGATGATAGGATATTGTGAAGAGAGGCTTCACTCCCAGAAGTTGGTAGAGATGTTGCATTAATTCAGATGTGAATTGTGTCCCACGGTCAGACAAAATTTCTCTAGGGATGCCAACTCTGGAGAAGATGGACAAAAGTGCTTCAGCAACCTCTATAGTAGTTATGGGCTTTATGCTTCGAGTTTCCCTGAAGCCGTACCCTTAATCAACTAATGTTAAAATATATCTATGTCCCCCAGATGAAAGTGGTGATGAAGGACCAACGATGTCAATAGCTACTCTTTCAAACTGTTCCGTAAAGATTGGCATTTTGACCATAGTTACTCGCCGGGTACCTCGGGAGGATTACAGTTGGCAAACTGTCAAACTGGTGAACCCTTGCCCTTAGGGTTCGATCTCTTTAGGTCTTTATAGGAATTGTGAGCCTCAGCATACAGGTCAGCAGCCTCAGCAACTTCCTCAGCTTTACTCAGGTTACGTTCTCTAATGAATGTTCGTATCTGGTGAGGAAGAGCTGTCAGGAACTGGTCAGCAACTATGAAGTCTCTAAGAGATTCATAACTGTGATCAGTTCCTGAACTCTCTATCCAAAAGTCGAACAAACGAAAGAGTGTTACTTGTAACTGCTGAAAGTTTTGGCCAAGGTGTAAGGTGGCATACCTGAAATCTTTCCTAAAAGAATTTGTAGTCTTTTGGTATGCTTTAAGGATTGCCTTCTTCAGTAGGTTATAATTACATACGATACCCTGCGACAAAGTTGCATAGATATTCAAAGCTGTAACGGAAAATAACATTCCTAACCTGGTAGCCCAGGTGTCAAGGGTCATTCACAGAGGGTAGCGGTATTTTCAAACCTAATAATGTATGAAGTAATGTCTTCACCCTCTGTGAAGAGAGGTAAATTAGGTGTTGCACTATGTGCACTAGCTGCATGATGTTCAATTACTCCTTTCTCTAATTGCTGTCATGAAAAAGTTAACATTTTATTTTATAATTCAAGGCGTGCTCTCTCTACCTCACGATCTTTTTCCCTCTCTCTTAACTCATTTTCTCTAGCTTTTTCCTCAAGTTCTCTATATTTTGCTCTTTCCTCAAGGTCTCTTAATTTATCTTGTTCCTCACGTATCTTAGCTCTGTCCTCACGATCAAGTCTATCATGCTCCTTTTTCTCCTCTCTTTCTGTTTCTGTTTTTTTTTTATTTTCTCTTTCAATTCGACCTCTCTCCTTTTTCTCCTCTCTCAATTCTCTCTTTCTCCTCTCTCAAATCTTTCTCTCTTCTTTTTCTCCTCTCTCTTTTTAACTGTCTTTCTTGGTTCTCTCTCTCTATTCTATCTCTCCCTTTTCTCCTCTCTTTCTCTATCCAACTGTCTCTCTTCTCTCCCAATTCTTTCTCTTTCAATTCTTTGCTGGATCTTAGCACTAATGAAAGCTAAATTTTTCCCCGTTATTCCTAACTTACTCCCAGTGTTCATCCAAAACTGGTATTCCTCCATACTTGCAAGAATAACTTAAACTACCAGGGGAAAATAAAACGGATATTTCAAAGAAAATGGAGGGTTCAATTCCTGCTCTGCTCAAACTGTAAATCGGAGGGTTCGATCCCTGATTTGATTAAACAGTATGTTTGAATGAAAATGGAGGGTTCTATGCCGGCTCCGACCAAACAGTAAGTAGAATGGGGTCCCTTGACCATCCAATCTTCTCACTAACAAATCAAGAGTGTCCTACAACAGTTCCCTTGACATAATAAATAGAGCTCAATGAAACAACTTGTCACTGGAAAACCTCGGGTCCTTAGAGTCTATTCCTCCAAATCGTTTCAAGCTCAAAAATAAAGATGGCAGAATTAACTAGTATATCCTGCCTTGACTTGACTTACAATGAATTGAGACTATAACAATCACCAAATCTTTTAAATACCTTTACTGTAGACCTACCATAGATTATGATTACTCACGACTGGTGGTAACCGTCTGTGGTATGCGGAATTGAAGTTCCAATGGTAGATTCGAGATGGAGTCGAATCTTGATTCGGTCGTGTGATCCTGGCAAGGTGGCCACTTGTGAAGGCTTTCTCAGCCCTGTAAGATCTTAAGTAGATCTTACCAAGGCTGGCTCCTCCTCAGGAAAATTAATGAATAGAAGAAGAATAACATACAAATATAAACACTATTGTTAAAACTGAAAATATAAAACATTAAAATATGAACTTTTATCGTATGTGAAAGAGAAATGAAAAATGAAATATAACAATGATATCTGAATTCAATGTTAGTATGTACAGTTAGACTGGGATGTCTGGTTGATGTTGACACCGCACCTTGTAGAAATTGAAGCCGTTGCTGAGAATGGGGGGAGGGGGATCACAGCTGTTGAGTGACAACCCAACAACTAGTTCGTCACAGTGTCTCTAGCGTTGAATAATCCATCAAGATGATAGGAGCGCAGGTCTTTCACCACTGCAAAGATGAGGGGTAGTTGCCTGGGGTTGACTTCACTCAGATACGTAGATAAAAAAGTGACGTCCCAAAACTCATGTGAAGTTCGTCTCCTTCAACACTGTTTCTGTGGTTGCCAGATGACCCAAGCTGATATTCCAAGCTAGAAAGAAACAAAAGTTAACTACTGCTTGAGAAATCACTCTCCATAAGTGTAAGGCACTTAAAAGAATGGTGAGGATTTAAAAGCAAAATATGGAAATCAAGGCAGAATGAACTAAGTCTTAGAATTGGTTAAAAGTGAAGCTTTTAACCAATATATCCACTAAAATAGGAGCAGAGGCTTTCACTTACAGTTGTGCTGGGAGCTGTGAGTCAAGTGATTATCCATTTGGTCAGAGCCCCACACCTCACCTTTCCGGGTGGAGAAAAGGGGGGAGGGGATAGCGGGAGCTAGACACTGACCCT